AACTAATTTTAATGGCTGAAATTGGGAGTTTTTTAAAATAAAGTAGATTGATTTAGATACTTATTATATGTATTGGACGAAACTAACTTTTTTCCAAAAATAGTTTTGGCTACCATCACTAAATAATATCCTTTATAAATCAAAAAATTTAAAATATATACAATCTTGGTTTGGCAGATAGTTAGAAAGATTTTTCCAAAAATTCGTTATTATTATATTCAAACCTTGTCACAGCGGACTATAATAATAATTAAATTACTATCATAATGGATTTTTTCTTCACATATAAATACATATCAATATAAAAATTTTCTTATTATTATTATTATTATGTGTCCTGTCTATCTGTTGTGACTATATCAAAAAATCTGTTATATTGGAAGAATTTTATCATCATTATTATTATCCATTAAATTGAGGTACACTACATTGAGATTCGCTGTATTTAATATGACATTAAGGAAATTTTAGGAATCCAGTTTGATTCGAATTGAATGAAAAAAGTAATCTGATGGAAATGAAGCTTAGGTCTTTAGCTTTAATTATATCAGTTTACTTTTTCTTTTTCAATGAGGGGTTATAAGCTTTTAAAGTCATGTGATAATCATGACTGTTATAGACACCTGAAAATTCAAAAAAAAAGTTCCATTATTCTATTAAAAGTAACTGGGTTTCATCATCTTTCTTCTTATAATACACTTGATGATTTTGTGGATGAAATGCCTGGAGCAGAGCAAAAAAAATAGAATCAATGCCAGCCAAAGCATTATATATACATGTTATCCATTATAATCCTAACCCTAGTCAAAATCTCTTTTTATCTCAATTTTTATTTTTGCTGTTAGGGCTGTTTTTATTTCCTGTGCCCCATATGCAATGTACTTATTAAGAAATCTTTGTTATTTATAAATTATTATCATATGTATGTGGTGTACTTATTAAGAAAACCTTTATTACTTTTCTATTTTTGTTTTTCTATGTGATATTTATCTGCCTGTGATATATTGTAATATGCAAAATGTTCAAAAATAAGGTTTATATAATTGTATTACAACGTATGTACGCATCCAAAAAAAAAACCACTTGAAAATATATAAATAGATGTCAAAAAGAATTAGATTAATAATTTTATTTTATTTTAAAACGTGAAGTTCTTTTCGTTTATACATGATTGATTAAGAAATATGTAAGTATGATTTGTATTATAATAGAGTTAGAATTAATTTTGTTTAAAGAAACATGAATTATTATTTTTGAAATCGTAGAAAAAAAAGAAACATTAAATTTCTAAAAAAGGAAAAAAGATAACGTGAAAAAATGAGTGAGTGAGTGAGTGAATGAGTGAGTGGGTGAATGAATGAATTTACATCAGATATAATAATAGAGAATTATTATTAAATAATAAATAAATAAAACAAACAAAAATTAATTAATTTATATTATTATTATTAAAAATTAAAAAAAAATCTATTGCTATAATTAAAAAAGTTTCAAAATTGTGTGAAATTAAAATTTACAGAAATTAAAAGTTTTCTAATTATAATAATAACAATAATATGCTAATATGCTAATAACATATTAATAAATTATATAATGTACTAACTAATAAGCCATATAATGTAATAATAATATAATAATAGAAAAAATAATAATAGAAGATTTTTTATTTAACCATTATCAAAATGAACCACGAAACCCATCAATGAAAAAGATCTCAATGTAAGTCCAAAAGGTATTTTTAGAATATGGGAAATAAATAAATCAAATGTATTTAAAAAATGTTTGTATATAATTGAAGGAGATGTAAATAAAGACGAAGATGATAACGATGAAGAGGAAGGTAATGATAATAAGGAAGAAGGTGAAGACGTGAAGGAAGAGTTAATTCGTATCTTAAAAGAAGAAGACGATGATTTTTGGTGTTTTAAGATGTAAAATAATTTATTTTTAAGCAAATTTCTTCTATTTAAATGATTTTTTCTTCTAATATCATTATGTGAAAATGAATAATTAAATCTATTAATATTATAACAAGCATAATTGTTAACTTTTCTAGAACATCGTTCATTTATCAAAAGATTATATTTAAAATAAAAAAGTGTAAAAAATAAAAATAAAGGATCATGGAGTCAACAGATAATGCATTTAGCTGATTTAGGTCGCCTCTTATAACTTTCAATATATTTAAGTTGTCTGTTGTTAATGACTCCTCGTCGTCTTTCACGAATAAACGCAACACTGTCAAGTGGTGACATCCCTGCCTCGATCAATGCAATGGCGACTAGTACTGGAGCTCTGGTAATATTTAATATAATATTAGAAATTCAAAAAAAAAGTCAATAAATATTGAAAAAAAATTTTTTCACCAAATATAATATAATGACTATAACAATAATGATTCTTTCTCAATATAAGGCTCATCAGTAACACAATAACTTGTTAAATTAAGACAATTAATTTGTAGGAAAATATTTTAAAGTATTAAAGTTCAAATACTATGAACGGAATATTTTCTACAATTCCTACAAACGACACCGAGTTAGTTATTACTATTTTTTAACAAGTAAAATCAAGAAAGGATACAATGATACTGATCAAACTCGCGCCTTTGAAGAAGAGTCATGATTATTTTGATTTACACACTATTTTCTTACCTTCCAAGTCCTGCGACACAATGACATGCTATAGTTGGTTTTTTATCAATGTCAGTAGTTTCTTTGAAACGGGTTTCGACAAGTTCAAGCCAGTCATTGACTATTTGAGCTGGTGGTGCTTCGCCATCACCAAATACCCAATCCTGAAAAAAAAAATTTTGACATTGGTAAATCATCTCAAAAAAAAAAAATAGATATACCTTTTTTTTCTCGGAAAAAAATACAATAAACTTACATGAACTTTTATTCCACAGGATAGAAGAGGCTCAATATGATAGGTAGGATCACATACTCGAACCACATCCGTTACATTGTACTTTTTAAATTCCTATAATAATAATATTATTAATGACAATAAAATAATAATTGTGTTAAAATAATAATGTAATAAATAATAACGATAACAAATAAACATTTTTTTAATTTCAATAAAAATTTATTCCAATGAAAAAAATTTAATTAAATAAAGGTACGTAATTACCTGTATGTATAGTGATAGATTATTGTTTGAAGGAGCATCTGCGATCAAGAATCGAAGATTTTCATGTTCGATTAAAGTTGGAGGATTAATAGGTGAACGAAGTTGAACAGCAACAAATGAGCCGGAGCCTCGAGTGGAGTTACGCATCTTTATATTATAAATTTAATAATTAACTGTTGGAAATGAGCAGCTTTTTTTTTTTATTAGGATAATAATAACTTTTTGGACCATATTGAAAAAAATAATTGGAAATGTAATTATGATCTGCAGATATAATATAAAAATGATCTACAACACATAAAAAAAAATTTTTCTCTGTGGCGCTTGTATATTACATTACTATACAAATAAAGAAACTTAATTGTAGATCAATTGTGCGTATCACATGTGATGTTGAGTGCTTATGTGATTGTCACATATTTATAAGTTTTTTTTATAGATAGATAATCGATTAACAAAAAACATTGTAATTTTTGTCATTATCTATAATAATAAAAAGATTTTTGATTGATTTTTTATTTTTTCTTAATCAATTAATTTGATAAACTGATTATCTTAATTTACACAAGAATTTTTTTTTTATAAAATAATGTTTGTCTATTACTATGTATGTATGTGTAGATGAATATTATTTGTTATCATTATGGTATATTTATCCTAGAATACTTAATATTTAGCTAGCTAATAAATGGTTACTGTGATCTATCTAGTGGTAAGAAATCAATTTGTACTTGAGTTAGGTTTAGAACAACAATAAATAACAGAGTTGCATTTGTAAACCATCTTTATTAATATTTTAAAAGGAGGAAAATTTAGTATACTAGATAATTAATAAAATTGACACTTTTTTTAGTTTGCTCATATGATTAATATATCTGGTTTGACAACTGTGAAAGATTAACAATTTCAGTGTCTATTACTGGTACCGAATAGCTCGTTACATTAATGGAGGTTGATGATTGTTGCATTAGAAATAGGTTGAAGACCATAATCAAAGGAATTGGGATTTTGTAAAGAAAATGCAACCAAAATCACAATCAGCAATTGGTTTATTTGGATATACAATACAAAGAAGTTGAATGTGTGATTCATTGAATTTTTAAGAGTAAATTGTTGAGAAACATTTGTTTGAAAAGTGTTAACATCAGGTGACAGTGTTTGTTGCTGTTGGTGTTGAATTAGATGTAGTATATAGTCGTTATTATCTGTGCAGCCAACTCTTGGCTGACTTCAACATTATTTACTGCAAAATCAAAATATCTATAAATTTATATTTATTCAGTCAAAGTTCGTTATAATTGACACTCAAACACTCGATTCCAGACATTTTTGTCCACTATAAAGAAAAATCTGTTTATAGTGAGTGGACTTATTATAAATAAATTGAAAAGGTCCTTTATAACAAGATGAATTTTTTTTTATTAATATATAAATTCATGCGCAACATATACTAAAATAACATTAATAACGAGTTACGAACACGTTTATGAATTTTAACCTATTAATTGTTTTTAGTTCTTGATGGATGTTTTTAAATGCTAAATCATTTTTTCCGACTATCTAATGCCTCTTACTTCGTCAGTTAGTTCTTGTACTGATGCTTCATCATCAATCTAAATAGTAATGATAGGATCTTGCGGATTTAATCCATCAAAGTTCGTAAATCAATTTCTACAAAATCTTTTTGAAAATGAAAAGTTCTTTTGACAAGCACTAAACAAAAGGGATAGTGTATAAATTAATTTATTTTAAAGAAATCAACCAAGAAAGATTACTATGCCGTCACCAAAAAAAGGATAATGCGCAAATTAATTTATTTTTCAAATAAATAATTGGTAGAATTAAAAATTACTTTTTTTAGTGTGTTTTAAACAAAGCCACACACATATTCTGTAAACACTACTGAATTGGAATTTTTTTAGAAATCACATTCATTAACCATTAGTGCAAAAGATCGTCCACGCAACCACATGATTTCCACGATAACGAACATGATTTATACATATTAATATAAAAATCACAATGGAGAGATTTTAAGAAGCCACTATTATAACGAACAAATTTTATTATAAAGGGAGATAAAAAAAAATCCACTATAGGCAAATCCATTATTAAAATAAATTCTGGTAAATATAATGTAAAAAATACTGTCATACATAAATAATAACAACAACAACAACAATAATAATATAAAAGCGACTTATCTGGAAAATATCCTGAAAGAAACTTTATTTACTATCACCTTTCACAGTATTTGTTTCTTAATAATTGTTTTGATTTCTTAAAATAAATCTACAAAAAACAAAAGTTTTTCCTACGACTTGTCACTCTTTCATTTCTCATTCTTACCTATTCATTCATAATGCACTATTGTTCCTAATGAATTTACAAGTAAATCTTAAGATTTCAAGTTATAATTTTTAAAAATAACAATTGTAATTATATTTTAAAGGCAAAACTTTAAAACAAACTGCTCCAGCGAGAATGTATGAAACCATTTTTGACGCAAGCGTGAATAAAAAAACTTACAAAGTTAAATTAACCAATTATTTATTATTTGAATTGGTGCATCTTTATAATTTGTTTTGTTTCGATATTGTTACATAGGCGAATTCATCGAATATTTTTAAGTTTTCAGAGATTAGCTTCATGCCAATTTTGGGCTTTGGTGATACTACTTGATACAGTATGTAACGAAAATAATGGCGGTGACAAAAAGTTGCTTATTTTGTAAATAAAAAAAAATTGATATTGCATTCTTTTTTAAACCTCCTAAAATTTTTGATTTAAAATTTTTGACACAGGATTTTTTAATAACCATTCTAACGTATCAATGTACATGATAAGATAATTATACAAAAAATTATATCAGCTTGTAACTAAAGTTTCGAAGATTAAGCATATAATATTACATGCTTCCATATTTTCTAGAACGTTATCGATTATAAATAAAAGAAACCCGGTTATTTTGAGAAAAAAATATATAAAGCCATTGATCAGACAGCCATTGTCCTGTTATGCTCAAGAGTACTCACTTCTTTAGGTCTTTCGAGATTATAATGTATTTTCCCTCGCTGAATGAGCATTGTCAGACCAATAATGTAAATAATATGAAACATCTTGAAGTTAGGCTTTCAATCTTCGTATAACACACATTTAAAAGATGCTAGGGATAGAAAGCAGAATTTGGCGAAGCCTTTTCTTTTATAAATGCCTTCAATGGGACATAAACAAGCTGGAAAGATGTACCAATCATGATAAACAACGCATTTTATTGTTTGTTATGCAAAATTATTTTGTATCATGAGCCACCATTATTTTCGTTACACGCTGTATGTTAACAAACGAATGTAATGCGTTATTGTATTTACTTGTTGTTGTAGGGACTCTTATTAACAAAACTGTATTGCAAGGATTTTTACTATGACGACTAAAAAATAGAAAAGTTGATTTACTGATTGTCATTGCGCTATTTTCCGCTTTTGGCGTAAATAAATAAATAAACATAATTATATTTGTCATTTTGTAATTTAGGATTGGTGGGCAGTGCATCAAAAAAAAAATATTTTATTTAAAATAAACCAGGAAAATATTCAATGTTACACTTTATTAGAGGTTGCACCCGGATATTTGAAAATTTAATGCCAAATACAAAAGAAACTGTAATGAAGAAAAGTTAGAAAGTAATTCCTCCTATCTTTGCCCAAAAATTTTTTGGGATGACTAAAATATGCTAGAAGAGCTCATGAGAAGTATTTTAAGCATACTAAACAATATGTAACTTACATATTCATTAATAATGAAAAGATGGCATAGAAAAAATTATTGATGGTATCATTCAATCGATCGAAAGAAGAATCTCACAAGCTTAAAATCTAATAGAAAAGGTAAGGATCCGAATGAACCAACGAAATTCGAATCGATTTGAATCAATATATACTATCGAGTATATAAATAACTTAACTCATGAATCGTGGTTTGGCTTGGATCGATATATATCGTCTAATACATTAATATTAATTCAACGATAATTGTTTCGACGAATTATAATTAAATTCGCGTTAGAATGGAAATTTAAAATTTTTGCTTCGCAAATAAAATTCGTTGGAACGCGAATTTCCTTATGCGTCCCATCCTATAAAAAAATTATGCACTATATAGTACTGAATAAATGCGGACGGAATATATAAACTTTCCCGTGCCTAACATACAGAAATGGTACTACTAGGGAGTGTATTTTCCTATATTTTCCATATTAACAGTCATAAGATGATTTTCTAATGAATATTTTTTCATAATGGAAGGAGCACTCTATATAAAGTTACAGCTATTCAAAATGCACCACATTTTCACTTTGAAGCTGTGATTATCTATCAATATCACTTTAAAAGACTTGATAAGTATAAAATAATTTAAGCTTATAAAAAGTTCCTAATAATAGAATTTGTAAATTATTATTTCATAAATGCAGGAGAAATTTGTGACAGAGATTATCAGTCATATTGTTCCTAAATAGAATTTTAGGAATTTGATAACAAACTTTAACCCAATATTTGGCACGCCATGTTGAACAAAAGTGTACTATATTTTGTTGTAATAATTGCGACAATTGTATATATATATATATTTACAACAAAATGGTGTCCAGCATGGCGTGCCATATGTTTCTCCTTTTTTTCACTTCCAAAAAAAAAAAGATTTTTCTCCCATGTGCACAGTAATAGCAGAGTGGAAGTTTTTTGGTATACGAAATGTTATACAGCCCCTGAAACTTCACCAGTATATAGTAGTTACCTCTCTAAATTGGAGATCAAGTTCATATCCAATTCAAATCTAGTTTATCACTTACTTTTATTGCCAGAATGTTTTCCGTGTATTGTAAAGTTACATTGCACAATATAAAAAATTATGTAACATTCAAATTTCCACTATGCTAACAGTAATACGTCCCACTTTTTATATAGAGGGTCAAATTTCATTTGTAGATCCACAGATCACACGTGACAAAATAGTTTTGATAGTAATAACAAACTGGTGATCATGTGACATATGATTAAATTTTTATTGGGTAAATTTGAATTTTTTGAATTTTAAAAAATTTTTTTATAGTAATAATAACAATATTATTATTATAAACCATTTTATGGGAGGAAATAGCATCTTTGTTCAATTTCATAATCTAAAAGGGTTAAATTTCTTCTGAACTTAAAACAAAATTTAGATCTTCTTAATCCCATCCACCAGAAGAAATGAAATGAAAGTTTTATTCAATCAATTGTCCAGGCCAGATGAAGAAAGAAGTCACAAAAATTTTGGGTGAAAATTTTTAATTTTCATCTATTGTTTATTACTACTGTCAACATTATTTTCCACATCACCATCATCATAATCATCACCATCATCATAATCATCACCACCACCATCACCATCACCATCATCATCATCATTGTCATTGTCATCATCATCATCATTGTCATTGTCATTGTCATCATTGTCATCAACATCTACCTCATCAACCACTTCATCATCCTTATTCACTATTGTAGTAGTAATAGGTTTAGTATAATTATAATTCCATCCATCTAAAGGTGGTGTTTCTGTAGGAATTTTCATTTTTCCAGGAAACAATATTTTTGAATTATTAAGCTGAGCTTCTTTAAATAATCGTTCATCTACCTTTTCTAATTCAATATTCGCCTCATTTAACATTCTATATTTTCTTGCTAATTCAAGCTCTTTTTGTTCTTTTTGATGTCTACAAAATAATTTCCATGCTCGTTCTATCGTTTCATGTCTTTCCAAATCTTCTTGTGTTAATGATGACAAGTCTGGTTTCTCGGTTTCGTAAAGTATTTGTTTAATTACTTCATACCTTTTATCTGTTATATGGAATTGTTGTGAGCCTGGTATCATACTTCCACCAGCTCCACTACTAGTGGTTTTTGTGTTGCTGCTACTACTTGACTTTTTATTTGTGTCAGTCTTTTTTGAAGATTTTTGTGCTCCATATTTACGATTTTGTGAAGAAATATTTGTTGTTGGTAATGTTTTTATTGTTGGTATTATTATTAATGAACTTTTCTTTTTTTTAAATATTAAAGTTTGAAAATTTCTTTTTATCATTTTTTTTTTTAAAGATATTCGTGTTGCATTGATAATTTAATTGGCGATCCTTTTAGTAAAGAAATTTTTTTATATATAGAAATGGATATTTTTCCTTTTACTGGAAAATTGTACATACAGCTCTCCAAGTGTGCCCCATTGAGAACATAATACTTACTATCACTCATGAATATGCATTTAGAGAGGGTATACTTAGATAATAATAATACAACTGCGGATTTCCCAAAAAGGATCTTCAATAAGAATTTTCATCCGATAAACTTTAATTTCGAAACAATTTAGAGCTAGGGTTTCTATTTGAATAAGGTTTATTCGAATTATTCGTTTTATTTGAGTATTAGAGTTACATTGAAAGTTTATTCGAATAAAACTAATAATTCGAAGATTGACTTTATTACGAATAATTCGAATAAGAATTAGTATTACGAATAAAAACCCTATTTAGATCATAGAAAGCATACGTTGCTTCATCTAGTTGTAACGAATCTTTCATTAGGAATTATTATTATCAAAAGAAGAACAACTCCAAACCTCAAGAATCGCTGTAGTAAGATCAAGGGCCATTCTCACATCATTGTTTAAAAGCTTGATGGTGACAATTTGTCAGATGTTCGCATTCTTTAAAGGACTAGATCAACCGGCTGGAAAAAATAATATCAACTAATATACCAAAGGGTTGCCACCCAACGATTATAAAATTTACATTAGCCTGTCATAATGCCAGCTGCATAATGTGTTGTTCCTCAAGATGATTAAAATAAAATGTGAAACTTGCACGCGTTTATCAGATTAAATAATTCGTTTATTGCATAATTATCAAAATAATACTCAAAAATAAAACCTCCTGTTATTTTTATATTATTTTCAATACTTTCATGATCCAGTAAAAACAATACAAATAAGTAAACCGTCCAATAATAAATCATTGAAACCATTTTGATGATGTCTCCTAAATGAAAACAGAAAAAGTCAATTATTTACCCATGTCCTATGAACACCAATAACTTTAGTTATTTGTAATTGAGCACATTAATTGTGTGTAAGAATAATCCTGGATATCCTAACCAGGATTAGGGACAAATTGCATTGTGCAAAAGTGGATCGATCATCTTAACCGATTTGACATTGCAATTAAAATTTAATTAAATCAAATCTGTTTAGAAACTGATGTTATTGGAATCTTATTGTTAAGGAAATCGTATTTCGCTTAAAAAGATATCGTCGTTCTCCAGATTTAAACTTCTTATGTTAATAGATCATATGGTTAAAAGTCATTTTTTAATTATTGTGAGTAACAACAGTGAACCTATGAATTACAGAGCTCAGACAAAAATCATCAGCTATGTGAGCATTTTTAAAGTTGCTGATGATATGCGAGCTTTTCAGTAGAAACGCGTGAAGCTCTGAAAGTGATGTTTTGAAAAAAAGAACTGCATTTTTCTACACTCATATGGCAAAGTATAAATATTGTAGATTCTTGTATTGAACTTTATTCCCACCAAAATCCTTCTTCTAATATACATTTTTTGTAATTAACAGTTTCAATAAAGCAAGTAATTCCTATTTATTTTCATAAAATAAAATCCAATCCGTCCTGTCTGTTCGTAGTAGTAGGTAAATCAGTTATGATTTTAATGTCATATCGAACCAATCAATATATAATGGCTATTTTTTCAATTTAAATGTTGCTAATTGATAGTTTGACTTAAACGCAAGGTAATTTTTCAAAACACAAGGAGAAAGATAAAAGTCCATTTGAGAACGAATAGTCAGGATAAGCATTTCAGACACTCTTGACATATCATTCTGTCTTACATGTTAAACACTGAAGCTTACAAAACAAAATGTATATTATTTTCTGAACTCCCACAGCTCTGGTAAAATGCTCCCAATCATGTATCCAGCACTGTGTGTGTATTGCAGTTTGGCCAACCATATGTCAAATTTTTTCTTTGATTATTATTAAAAAACATTATGGCATATCTCTTTTCATTTGAATATAATTAGCTTTTGCGTAATAAAGTTTCTACCACAAACAAATAGGTGAATTGCGATGAATTCCAACGAATAAGTGACGGGTAACATTTAGGTAATCAACCGATTTTATTGGTGAGTTATGAAGACAACTATCTTTGCAAAGGCTTATTTGCTTATTTGGTCCCTCTGAACTGTTTTTATCTCTGCATTTGTGGATTCATAGTAAATTATTAAAAAGCGCAAAATCCTTCCATGGTAATATGTGTAAAGATAAAGAAGACTTTGATTCATGAAGTATCAATCAATAGATTATCAAACGCTTTTTTTTTAAAATTTTGAGTTTAATTAATTATTCACAGACAATTAGATTAATTTAAAATTAAAACCAATTGACTATTTATTGTAATTGTAATTTGGTATTTGACCAACATAATCAATAATAATAAGTATAGTCTATTACCAATTAATTGACTGCTAATTGGTTAAAAACAAAAAAAAAATATCTTATTACAAACTGGTTTACTATATAAATTATTATATAGATTTCACATGTATTATTAACACATAATTATCTTTTGTAAAACTATTGATAATTCAAGTTTAACCGATTGTAACAAAACATCGAGTTTAAAATCTATTCTACTTTCAAATATTGAGGCCGTGGATATTAATATAGCAATATATTTTGAGCCGTTTCTGTTGAATTAATGGAAGGAACTGGTATTAGTATTAGTGGTTATTCATTTGGCAGAGGGAACTGGTTAAATTGGTAGATCAACAACTAACTCATATTTTTAGATGAATCTATTTTATTAAAACATATCAATGGATATTAATGGATTCGAAAATAAGTTGATATTTGTTATGTGCTCTTTAAGAGTAGTTTGTTCTATCTAAATGACACTGTTGGTATTAAATATATATATATATAATTTATTTTATCAATACATAATATAATAATATACATGTGTATGTGTGTTAGTTAATATTAATATACAGAATTAAAAATTTTCTATTTAATCTATCAATACCGTTCACCATCTTTTGTGATTTTCTTTTACACAAAATTACCATTATTAATTAATTACCAAATACCCCTGTAGTAATACAATAATACATTATTGCCTATGATAATACCCTGCATTTTATATTATTTACTAAAGCAACTTCTAGATGACATAATAGTCTCTACCCATCTCAAATCTTCATATCCATCAGTCATTTTATAATCAGCTTCCTTGTAACTTAACCCATCTTCTTTCATGATCAATCTAATGATAGTTTCAGGTATTAACACATCATTTACAAATCGAAGTTGCAAATTAGATGAATAATTAAAAAATGGGCGTTTCAATTTATCATATAATAATGAGGATGATGACGAGGATAAGGATGGTGATGGTGATAATGGTAATGGTGGTAGTGGTGGTGGTGATGAAGGTGAAGGTGAAGGTGAAGGTGAGGAAGAGGAAGAGGCAGCAGCAGCAGCAGCAGTTGGTTGGGCCAATGATGGTGATGACGTTTCTGATTGTTGGCGTGAATGCTTGTTTGGGGTAACATCATGTAATAATGAAGGTAAGTGTTTGCGCTTACGTGGAGTGGAAACAGAGGTTGTGAGCTGTTGAGACGGTGATGATTCTGGTTGTGGGTTTAAAATTTTGCGTGAGGTAACATCGGTTAAGTTGTTGTGTTTATGTGGAGTTGAGACAGGAGTTGAGAGTTGTTGTGATGAAAGTGATAGTTCTTGTTGATTATTTTGCTGTTGATTATCTTGTTCTTCTTCTTGTTCTTCTTCTTCTTCTCGATATTGTTTATTTTCCAATTTCATAATAGACATGATCAATTCCGAAGGTTTAACGATATTATCTTTCTTATCGATAGCTTTTGCAACATCAGGCACATACATATGTCTTAAAACTTTTGCTATCAAACCAAATTCACTTTGGTTGAATGGTCCTTGTGAAACACGAGAAGCTAATAACTGACGCTTTTTCTTTCCCTTAACAAAATAATCATATCTCCATGCCAATTTATCATTGCCTAATAGAACATCAGACAATGTTGGTTCGAGATCTAGAATTGTAGCAATTAATTCCGGATCTTCATAATCAGGGTCTTCTTTTTCCATTACAATTTCACCCAACTTTTTAATAAAGATAAAAATATATATAAATATATATTAACATGAAAATATAAAAATCTTCAATTATAAAATTACATTGCAAGTCACAAATCCTTTTTCATAAATTGTGTAAAATTTATTTCTACCAAGTGTTGTCTTGGATCCATCACAAAAGAGGACATGGTACTTTCCAGGCTATTTAATATAACAATTAATATTATAGAATTTTAAATTATTCAAATAAACGCCATCAACAATTAAATAAATAAATAAAATAATAACAAGTAATTACTAATAAATAAAATAAATGTCTTACCTTCTGATAACCAATGATTTTTGCTGGATAGTATTTTCTTAAAGAGTAGGCTAACACTAATTCACCTGGAATGCTTAATGTCTCATCTTTCAAAACATCATAATCTGGTAATTCAGGTTCGGATTGTTCCTGTTCTTGTTGTTGGTCTAATAGTTCAACAATGTTATTCTTTTTTTCACATTCCTTTTTTGGAGGAATAGCTCTATTCAATAATTCCTCCACGCTTGGAAATTCTTCATCATCATCAAGACTAGCTAATTCATCAAGAGATGATTTATTAACATCCTTATCATTAATAACATATTGTTGTTGTTCTGGTGGTTTAACTTTGATATTTTTTTTTTCAAGCTTTTTCCTTTCTTTTTTTGACATATTCCATAATTCTCCCACGCTCGGAACTTCTTCGACAAAACTGAGGGACGGGCTATTATTGTTGTTCTGATTATTATCTTTAGAAGTTGGAATAATTTTTAATTGTTCTTTTCTTGATAAACGTTGTTGTTTTTGTTGTTTGTTATTTTTAATTTTGTTTTGTGGTTTTATTGGTGTTGGTGTTGGTGTCGGTGGTGAATCCATTATCCTTGTGAAAATTATGTGCTTAAATTTTCTTTGAATAATAATAATAATCAAAAAACAAATTTACTTTTATTATTCAGTGCCATAGTATATTTATTTATCTAGTTATTATTATTATTATAAATTATTTATAGTAATATCTTGTTGAATGGAAAAAAAGTTTGGATTCTTGTGGC